CGTCTTCTGTATTATCCCGGTGTCTCGTTGTGTGCTTCTGTTCCTCTCACACCTACTTCACTCTGTCTTTGTGCAAACCTGCATGTATGAGTTTGTTGCGTTCACAGGAGCGCACCTACATCTACTGGTCATTGACTAACATCGCCCCCCGTCCACCTCTGTTTTAACCTGAGAAATATTCAAACCGACAGATATGTTTTCTCTTGCTGCTCACTACCACTGAGCGCTCACCCAGGGCAAACATAAGAGCGAACAAAATCCCTTTAAAATGCTCTCAATCTTCTTGAACTTCTCCATCTGACAGAGATATTGACAGGCAGATCTCTGCATTTCCTCGCCCCAAGGTGATGAGGCTATCAAGCTCTTATTTCAACATTTGCTAGATGATTTGCTTTAAAGCACTGCTATTACAAGCTCCTGCTTGTATGTTTCACAGCCTCAGGAAAGAGCATTCAGACAGCATTTTTCTCACAAAATATAAGGCTCTCAAACTTGACAAAAGCTTTTTAATAGACAATTGAGTATTTAGTATATTTTCCAAATTTATGTCTGTTTATTGTTTTGCTTGGCTGTTGATGGTTTCATGCCAGTGATTTATATACAGTGCCACGTAGACTGATTGGTTTAACCTGCATTTTTCTTTACTTTTCCTATTTATACCTTACTTAAGTACACAAATGAACCAACATCCAAATTACAGTGTACACTACACCTGATCCTGTGTTGACCCTAAAGCAAAGTAAAACACATTCTAATTAACAATTGGTATCTAATTTCTACAGTATATTACACTATTTCACATGACCAACTTATTCAACAAATATCACACAACCATACAAGTAACACTAACACTGAATTCATAACTTGCGGTATGTATAGTAATGTTTTCCTAAGGACTCAAGATCTGGTCTCTCTGCCTGTTTTTGGGTATAACCCCAGTTCTCTGAGGAAAGAACGGACTGCTCTGCAGCAGGTGAAAAACAACATGGCCGCTGATCTGGAGCGACTCCTTAACCATCGAGAGGTAAGCATGCTGATGATGATGATGTTGACTCTTAGCTGTTTGTTATATAGACACTGATGTTTTCCACTGTAATGCTCTGTTGTTGTGATAGTCACACTCAGTGTCTCCCACTTTGTCCGGTGCGTTGGGGCTGTTTAAAAACGATGAAAATGACAAATTCCAGCAAAATATTATTTTGGAAATATAGATTTAAAAAAATAAAACAGCATGTTGCAGCATATGTTCCTTGTTTGTGTTTGACACAGGGCAGAGTACTGCTGCTGATTGTGTAACTGGTAATTGGAGTGCTAATCTGTTCTTCTATGGAAACAGAAATTTAACCAGTTATTCCTCTTTTTCATTTCACCAGCTAGGGCCCGCCCTCAGTGTATGAAAGGAGATTGGTGCTTGGTGTAGACTTAGTTATGAACTGCGGTTTCTGAGAGAAAAGCTTTGGCGATCTGTGCCGCTCTTAGGCACTGGCGGACCCCCTGCATGAAAGGGGGGAAAGAGAGAGGATAGAAAGATGCAGAAAAGGGGGAAAGAGGGAGGGTTACGAAAGGTTTAAGCGAGTTTTCTTGGTGGCTTAAATATGACTGGGAGAGGAAAGGGGTGCGAGCTTTGGGCATGCCCTGCTCCTAAACCTCAAACTACAGGAAGATATGAAAAGCTTTTTATTGTGGCTGAAACTAAAGATTATCTCCTTTATGGCTTAGTCTTTCAATTAAATTAAATGCTTGGTTTATAAAACATTCAAAATTTGTTAAAAATATCCATCACAATTTTCTAGATGCCAGGATGACATCAGACCAAAGCTTAGATATATTTTAATATATTGTAATTTTAAAGATAAAATACAAGAAATGTGAATGCAGCAAAACTTAGTGCTCAAGCAGAAAATCTCTGATTGGTTAGAGAGGACAGTCCTGCTCAAAACCTTTTAGAAGCTACTGTGTCTGCACTGCTGCCAGTGATGTTCAGTGAGTCTGGGTCACAGGAGGCTTCGACAGCACCTCTCCACATTGACAAGTTTTGGATTTGTACAAAAAAATATGTGGAAAAAAAGTGACATAGTGTAGCTTTAAAATAAACACACTTTAATATTTACACCAGACCATTTATTCCACTGTGTTTCAGTGTTTCCTTCAAGATTATGCGTGCACGTGGGAGTGTGCCCCTCCAAGCCAGCCGTTTGCTGTATGAAGTATGTGCCCTGATATAGACAGCTGTTCCTCAGTTTGGCTGTTTGGGATGCCACCAGGGTGCATGTGTGTGTTTTTGTGTACGTGTGTGTGCTTGTGCGTGCGTGTGACATGCCAGGGCTCATGTCCTCAGGGGTGATAAATAGAACCGTGAAATGGCCCAGCGTCCTCCCCTCTGCCCTGCTGCCACCCCTGCAGACCCTTGAGCTCGTTGAGCTTATTGCAAGTCGTCCCATAGTTGAACTTTAGGAGTTCAGCTGTGTTGGCCTGTGGATCAGGACAAACATGGCACCAGAAAGTATCAAAAAAAAAAATTCCTGAAACCACAAAAGACTGAAAAAGTACTATCCTAAAAGAAATAATTTTGCTTTAAGCTATTTAAATCATACAGAATAGTTGTAGTGCAGTTATTTTAGTTATTAAATGACCTGGTAATTTAGTTGATTTCTGGCTTTTTGGACCCTACACTCCCAGTTATTTATCATGAAGATTCCTATTTATTGTTTTATCATTGTTTTCATGTCTCTATTTTTATGAACTGTGTGATTTTCAGGAGTTAGCAGTGATGAAGCAGGTCCTGATCAGCATGCGGTCCCAACAGGGAGACGCTTCAGATCTGCTGGCAACACATAAAACTGCTGTCAGGACCTCTGGTGCAGGAAAACACCAGTCCAAAAGCATCAACAGCACCACAGAAGAAGAGTCACCAAGCAAACCCAAACCCACTGTTTTTGTAAGTAGCTCACTGGCCAACACCCTTGTGTGAGTCACACCACTTTAACCTGCCAGGACAGAAGTTCAGACAAAAGAAGCATTAAAGGAGGAAACAGCAGATTGTTTTTCTGTCTTTCGGTTTCATTTGAGGTGGTGCCTGAGCAAAGATACAGTACGCTGTAAAATTACACTGTGCATTTTGTCAGTCAGGAAGCCTGATAGTAAATCTGTATCTGTAGTACATGTCCTTGAATCACATGGAAATCTAATGGGTGAAAATATTTTAAGAATTCTTACCGTCATGCACTTCAACATTTTAACCATCATTTTTCCTCTTTCATTTGCAGACCAATAAAGAAGTTCCTGATTGGTACCAAAAACTGAAGCAGAAATCCAAATGAATATTCACGTTACTCCTGCCGTCACTCAGGGCTTTAATAATCTAGTGTTTTCTAAATGTGTTTGTATTTTAAACTAGTCATTTAGAAACTGTTAGTGGTGTTTGAGTGTTTTATTTGTCTTTGGTTAAATATTGTTCAGAGAGGATACATGGTACTCCGGTCCAAAACCCAAGGTATTACCTTCCACGGGGTACACATTCCTACTTCACTGTCTGCCCAAAAATTCCTCTTCCTTGGCAGTGGTCTGTTTTATTAGGTCTGTGTATCATTATTTCCTCATCTTTTCCAGGTTAACAGATGTTGGTGGCTAACAGATAAACAGCACTGCAGGAACCTTAGCCTTTGGCTTACTTGAGCTTCTGCTCCTCTGGCTTTAAATATAGATACAGTGGGCATGCCTTTATCATTTCAGACCATGTTCTTATCAGTGTCATATTAAACGTGACCAGAGGACTGCTGTTTGTTTATCTACGTGAGCCTACAATACCTCACCATGCACCACATTACACAACATACAAAACTGTCTTCTCTACACTGCAGTGGGTGTCCGATGTTTGCATCCTATTTATTTCTGAATTGTCATAGCACAAGGTATTTTTGATAGTGACATTTTAATAAAGTGTGATAAATGTTTGATTTTTCAGGTCCTCAAAATGTGGAGGAAAGACCACTGTGCAGTTTCAAACAAATGTTCTGTTAACTTACATTTACACTTATCACATGTTAAAGGGGGAATCCATTCAACATAGCCTGTGAAATTCAGTTTGTTGAAGTTACTTTTCACCCTGCGAGTACTGTTGAACAATGTCTTCTCTGGCTCTGGGGGAGCTTTCCAAAATGTTGTAACATAAATCATCTCAACTTGGGCAAAAAACTTAAAAGTTTGATCAGAAAACCTGCATTACAAACCGGAGTGGGGCTTGAAAGAAGTCGGCATTTAAGAGGCTTTGGGAGTCTAATAAAAGACAATTGCATCATGGGAAATGCTGGAGCTGGTGTTTTAGGAGCTTGACTCATATTAGGGGCTAAAAAGTCGGGATATGTCTGCTTCCCCTGCTCCCGTTGTTGGCCATTCTTTAATGCGTTATGTTTAAGACTCCAAACTCTACAGAAGTGAATGATAATACAAATGCTTCTTATTAAAACTTGTACTCACTCCCTCACTGGTAAAAGAGAACCAAGTATATTTACTAATGTAAATTTAATACTCACTTTTCCTGCTACTTTCTATTTCTACACTACATTTTGGATACATTGTACTTTTACGCCACTACATTTATATGACTCTTTAGTTTATATTCAAATTGTTAATGCACAATATATTCAGCTCAAAAATTATGATGTATTATTATAGTTTAAGCCACCCATTGGTATGCAATGTGGATTTAATTATCCCTGCCAATCACACATCAATTTAACAAGAGTAGTAATCCAAATATTCTAAAATGCACCATGCTGCATGGTGTGTACTTGGGTAATAATATTGTTGTATGATTTGTTATCATGACTTTTACAAAAGAGCTTTTCTGCACAGTGATATTACTGCTTTTATTTATTTATGCAAACGATTAGTGTTTTTCTCAGGCCACTGTTCATTCCAGATGTATGAATTTTTATAAACAAAAATATAGGCTACTGATTAAAAAGGTGCCCTGGGTTTGGGGGAGCCATCCATAGTAGTGTGCAGTGTGGCTGGTCGTGTACGCTGCTTCCGACTGTTAATGTAGGCTATTCAGATGGAGCGTAGGGCGGTGGCCGGTGAATGAATGATCAAAGCCCTTTGAAAGGTTTGGGGGGCGGTGCATGTGCTGTATTTACACTGGGCCGCTCCGCCCTACGACGGGAGATAGAAAACTGTCTGTGGGCCGGTGGAGGGATGAAACAAGTGGAGGGACATGTATGTATCAGATAGCACACATCAGTAACTGCACCACGTCGCTTCCACTCCTTCCCCAGTAGCCGTAGCATCCCCCTTTTTGCATAACAGGACGAGCGATCGTTTGCGGTGCTGCGTCGGAGCTTCATGGCCGCGGCACTCACGATGAGCGGCGGCGGGCAGGAGGACCCCTTCTATACGCTGCAGAAGGCGACCCTCCCCGCTGGATTCTCTTTGGAGGACTCGGCGTTGTTCGGCTTGGACTGCAAGATCGCAGGAACAGACAAGGCTGGACTAAACGACTACACACAGGTAAACCGGTTAGAAGCCAAACCGACTTGGCACATGATGTGTTTCTTTGAATGGGCGTGGCAGATTAGACCCAGGCTGTTTTCTTTATTTATTCATTTTACTGGCCTCCGAATTCGTACGGGGCTAGCTGCGTGATGACAGTCATCACTTTGTCGTGCACTATTTGCGGTAATAAACGAACAGGCTGCGACCAGCTGGACGTGAAGCCGAGCTGCTCCGCCTGCAAACGCATTCACCGCATGTTTCCTCTGCCAAGCCAGTTGGTCACCAGTTGTTGGTCTCTCTGCGGTGCTGCGTCTGAGCTTCATGGCCGCGGCACTCACGATGAGCGGCGGCGGGCAGGAGGACCCCTTCTATACGCTGCAGAAGGCGACCCTCCCCGCTGGATTCTCTTTGGAGGACTCGGCGTTGTTCGGCTTGGACTGCAAGATCGCAGGAACAGACAAGGCTGGACTAAACGACTACACACAGGTAAACCGGTTAGAAGCCAAACCGACTTGGCACATGATGTGTTTCTTTGAATGGGCGTGGCAGATTAGACCCAGGCTGTTTTCTTTATTTATTCATTTTACTGGCCTCCGAATTCGTACGGGGCTAGCTGCGTGATGACAGTCATCACTTTGTCGTGCACTATTTGCGGTAATAAACGAACAGGCTGCGACCAGCTGGACGTGAAGCCGAGCTGCTCCGCCTGCAAACGCATTCACCGCATGTTTCCTCTGCCAAGCCAGTTGGTCACCAGTTGTTGGTCTCTCCTTGGCATCCCCTCTCACCGTCATGCCAGCCTGACAACAACTGACTCCAGCTTTGGACAGAAAGGTCCCGGCAACTCTGTCTCCAGTTAGCAGGAAACTTGTGCAAAAGAGGAAAGAGGTCTATCTACAGCTGGTAGGATCAGGAGCCTAGAAATAGAAGTCCACCCCCAGACTACTGTTGCTGCTGCTGCTGCTGCAGGCAGGGAGGGAGGCATGGGTGTTTCCCCATTCCCTTTAATGTTGCTGTTTCATCCTCTGCTGCAGGCCTAACTTCTGAACCATTTAGAGCCTTCAGATTCACTGGAGTTAAAATATGAACAAGAACTGACACAAAGTTGTTAACCAGCAATAGTTTATTTTTGTCTGTTATCATAACTACAGATGTGCAGATTGCCTAATTGTTTACATGGGAGGTATTAGATCTGATTCTTAGTGTGCACTAGAACATGGTCTCATTGGTTGGTGGGTTTCTGAGTTCAGCCTTGCAGGCAGAGAGGGAATGTGGCAGCTGCCTATGATAACTACATGGTAAATGTTTTAGAGGTGACTGTTCTATCAAACCTTTGTCTTCTCTAAATAGTGCCTGAGTAGTTTAACGAGAAGCACTCGCTCAAGCCTGGGCACATTTGTTTTAATTATTTTTGATCAGTTTACTTCAAGGTGAGTTAAGTTTCTAAACCATACTTTTTGCGTGTGTTTGTCTTTTTAGCACCAGGCAAAGTGTGAGATGGACAGGTATCTGTCCCCCCAGCCTCTTCCCCTTCCACCTCCTGCAGACAATCAGCAGAAGTCACACAGAGACAGCGCACCTGCAGTGGACCAGTTCTTCACTGAAGATCACGACGGGGCCCCGTACACTCTAAACATGAATCTTTACCTCCCTGACGCCAGCTACCTGAGGATGGGCTTGTGCCAGCAGACGCGGCCCCCTCAGCACCAGAACCACACAGGTCTCACCCAGATCAAAACAGAATCTGCCTCCCCGTGTTTCTCCCCCAGTTTACAGCCGCACTGCCCCAACACTACGAGCACGAGTAGCTGCAGCACGTCAGGACATGGCAGTATTGCCATGGAAACCTCGCCCATAAACATGACGTTAACAGGGTTACCGGACTTCACCAGTGTTTTCAACCAGTCGGGAAGCAGCCGAGGTGGCAATTCGGTGCCAGAAGTGTTTGTCAAACAGGAAATGTCATCACAGTTCGAGCAGCACGCTCTCCACCACCATGACAACAGCGGCTCGCTGTTTCAGCTCCTAAGCTCCGGCTTGGATCATCACCATGGCAGTGGTATGGAGGCTCAGCATCTTCACCATCAGCAGCAGCAGCAGCAGCAGCAGATACAACAAACTTCCACTTCCACCATCCACATGCCTTTCCACGATTTGCCAGTGGCTTCTTCTGCATCTCAACAGGAGCAGTCTGCGAAGCCAACCTACTGTGGCCTCGGTGCTGGGGCATACACTCATCCTCATGCTCAGTCACACCCCCATTTCCTCCAGCAGCAGGTGCCCTACCTGCCACCCTCTCCTCCAAGCTCAGAGCCCGGTAGCCCTGACAGGCAGAAGGAGCTGCTCCACACCATGTCCCCTCCTCCCTCATACGCAGCCACCATCGCTTCCAAGTTGGCAGGTAGCACGCCTGGGCTCGGACCCATCCCAGGAGCAGGCAGCTTAACCCTCCCCCTCACTACAGGTCCCACACCGATCCCAGGCCAAGCCGCAGTCCTTTCCCAAGCCCCTCCAACAACCCCAGCTCAGACCACAGTGCCTGTCCGCTACAACCGCAGAAACAACCCGGACTTGGAAAAACGACGGATCCATCACTGTGACTACCCAGGTTAGCACAGTAACACATGCCTGCTACCCTGTGTGTATTCTTATTTATGTGACTATTATGTGAGTGTGTTTGTTTATTTTTCCTTTCTTCTGCAGTCAGGTGAATCTGTTGTCACTCACAGAGGTCAGCTTTAAGAAAGCCTGCTTCATTTTAAGACACCAGTGCATTTCTTTGAAATTGTACATTGTGTTTCAAATGACTTTCCCAAGCCTATGAGTCACAGCAGAGGGTATGTTGCACTGGAATTTAAATATTTTGGCAAAGAAGACCATCAGTTGCTGCCTTTCAGTTAACCGACTTGTCTAAAAAAACTGCTTTGTACATTCATCATCACATCTCAAATGGCTCGACACTCTCAGCCGTGAGCTCTCGCACATAGTTGTGGCTTAAAGTCATCACTGGTATGATTGTGGAATGAAGTGTTTGTGTGTGGGTGTGTTAATTACCTCAGTCATTTGATTTGTTTTTCCACACACACACACACACACACACACACAGTGCATGCTGTCACACTTGAGGTTGCTTGCACAGATGAAAAGATTTTTATTTAAATTTTTTTTATTACTCCCCCAACACACACACACACACACACACACACACAGTAGGTGTGCAATGTGCAGCTACATGTAGAACATGTAATGTTGACTTGCCTGTGGCAGCGTGTAAAATGGGCTTAAGCAGAGCCTCCTGCAGCATGTTAGCACATGTGTAACTTCTTTAAAGTTATAAAGGACACGTTTACACTTTAACCAAGTGTGTATTAGTCACACTGCTGTAGCTGCTGACTCTTTGCATTATGTAAAATTCTATCATTTCCTTAAAGTTTTAACAAATCTGAAGAATAAATCATTCAAATTCCCGATGACCTTTTGACATTGAAATCCACACACCGCGTACAACATAGTGTGCACAAAAGATTTAGTAATCCTGGACTTAAAATATCTTAACTTTGACCTCAGGCCCACAGGTGTAGTGAACTTAACTTTTTTATTCTCTTCAGTGTGTTTGTAAAAATGGCAGATTTACTTTTTAACACAGTCTCATTTATTTCTGAAAGTCAGAGTATGTGTTGGACCCATTTTTGTGTTTCTACAGAATAAACGTTTACTGTATTTCATTCGAAGCAGCTTCTGTTCTTCATTAGTTCAGATTTCTCACATACCGCAGCTCAGTTTATTGGGTAAATACATATCTGGCACATGTGAATTATGTGGATTTGGATTAAGCCTTCTGTTTGTGTTTATCTCTCTGTCTGTCGTCAGGCTGCAAGAAGGTCTACACCAAGTCATCTCATCTGAAAGCTCACCTCCGGACTCACACGGGTAAGACCTTCCTCTAATTAATTTAGCTTTTTAAAACCGGACCCATCAAAAATGACGCTGCCCACATGACTCGTATTTCGGTGTCTGCACTGGCACCGTGTTGCTAGGCAGAGTGTTGTGTTCTTGGCATGTGTGTGTAAATGTATCCTGTCCCATTCCCATCCTCTGCCCAATATACTATTCCATCAAAACAGGTGGAAGTGACACACTTCTGCCAGGGGATGACTCTCGGACTATGTGGTCGGCGCTAGACGTGCGGTGCCGTCTATCTCAGGATCCCAGCGCCTGCCTTAATGCGCTTTTCTGAGAGTATTTGTGCTTGTTTGTCTCCATAAATGTATAGAAAAATAGTTTGTGCAGATACTTAAATATCTTGTATCATCTCCGTCCCTCATATCGCCACTTCAGTGATCACTGTGCACTTTATTGTCCATTTTTCTTTTTACTTTATCCCCTTTCTTTTCTCCTTTCTTTCAGTCAGTCTCCTTCTTCTGCCTTTACAGCTGAACCTTTAGTTTTGGAGGATCAAAGTCAACAAATAAGCGCTTCGATGTCGGGCCCCACCTCACTCCAGTTAACAAAACAAACCTTGTCTTGATACTGTATCTACGCATTCCTCACTCATCTGCATACACACACAAAACTCAATTTCACCGCTTTCAGAATTTGTTTCACTTATGAATCTGAACAACTCGTTCAGGACATCGCTGCGGGAATGTGTGCCTCGTATTTCAGTGCTGGAAACATGACACGACAATTAGATATGTCGTCATTCATGCTGCAGGCTGATTGTGGTTATTGCAGTTATTATGGGCCACAAGATGAGAACGTAACACGTAGAGACGGATATGGCAGCGACTTCCATACGCTCTCTGCTTTTGTCAGACTTGCTGAGTTATTTTGCTCCTTTCTTCTATTGCTTTCATTCATCTGATCATCCTTTCCTGTGCTTTTGTGCCACCCTCTCACCTTCAACCCTTCCTGGATCCACTCCTCTCCTCTATTTGTCTGTTACTCGTTCTGCTTCTCTTATTCAGCTGCATGGATGCACACTTACACACTCACAGACACATCCACACACACCTGTCAGTAATCTGTATGAGATGATTCCTAATGCGTTTGGGGCCCCATGGGAGTTCCCTCTCTAATCTCCATCAACATCCATTACCCTGATTGTTTGTGTGTATGTCTCTGTGTGTCTGTCTGTGTGTGTGTGTGTGTGTGTATACATGCAAGTGTGTGCGTCTATATGGGCACATGTGTTTGCCAATGTATTGTGAGAACGTAGCACTCTGCTCCTTTTTTTTTTCTTCTTCTTCTTCTCTCTTTTCATCGTCTCTCCTCATTGTGTTCGGTTTCTAAGTTTGGTGACACTAGTTAATTTTGTAAACAAGTTTACTGTGTTGGAGTGACACTATAGAGCTTGCTGAGCTTGTTCAAATGGGTGGTTCACTGAAATTACTTGGAACATGTTGCCCTACTTACTTTACAGCATGCACTTTATACAGCATGCACTTGAGTTTTTTATTTGTCCAGGTTTTTGAAATCTGAGATTGTTGCTACTACTCCAATCTAATGGTGGTGAATGCAATTACGTTTATGGTGCATAGAGCTTTGAAAAGTGACATATAAACTGCTTAACAGTTTGTTTGTTTTTCCCCCAGAACCATTGATTTATTAGCCTTAATAACTCACAGAATATGCTGGCAACACATTTCACAATTTCTTTTCGATAGAAGTAGTTCTAATGTAAACAGTTCTAGCGAGGCGTTGGGACTATTCAGAGTAAAAGAGATGTTGTTTCTGGAAAGACACTGTTGTTGAATTATTAATTTAGATTTGCAGGAGGATCATAAATAGCCTACATATTTCTCACCATGTTTTTGATTATTGTAAATATGCAAGCAGATTGTTTAAAAAAAAAAAAACACGAGGATCAAAAGAAAAAGCATCAAACCAGACAGATTCCACAGGTCCATATAGCACACAACAAACCGGAGTACACCCCTGTGTGGAATTGTACCGCCTTATAATATTTGAATGGTATTTAGTCTGTCTGCACAAACAAGTTAGACTATGTTGAAAATGGTGGCCTCACACTAAAACCTCAAAAACCCCTGCAACAATAGTCAGTTTACCTGTGATCACTAAAACACAAATGCTTACGCTGTGATTTCCAGTTAAGGCAAAACTGCATGAAGAATATTGTAAAGTAGCTCTGAACACCACAGCTCTCTCAGTTTTGGCCTGGGTTGTGTCTCATGCAGCATGGCTCCACATGGTAGGGACTTGCCTGAACAATTAAGAAACCAGATCAGGCAACTTCATAAACATGGGAGAGGGTACAAGAGCATAAGTAGGCTACAGAACATAGACTGAAACACAGCAGGAGCAGTGGTTAGGAGGCAAAGGCAGAGCCGTGCTAAGAGAAGGTGCAGTGGCAGCCCTGTTAAAATGACGTGACATACAATTTACTGCTTACACAGCCTGGATGGGTAAGTGCTTCTGACTTGGCACAAGGACCATCTGTGGAAACTGGTGTCTCTGATCACACAGTGAACACATCCTATACAGATGGTGGAGGAAAACCATTGCTCACAGAATGGCACACAGGTGTTTAAAACAAATAAAGGAAAAAAAAAAAGTAGAAACTATGACCTGCCTGGTATGTTTCTTTATTTAAATCCAACAAGACACCCAGGGAGTGTTTTAAAGCAGAAGGTACTGTAGAGCAACAAAAACTGATCCAGCAAAAAAACCAAATGAAAAACATCCTCTGTGAAGAATCTCTCCAGAGATGTGTGAAAGACGGGCGTCATCCATGCCCAGGAGGGTTCACTGAAAATAAAGGCAGACATACAAAAAAACAAAAGCATAAAAGAATGGAATCTCACCAATGTAGGGTCTGTTGGTCCTTAAATATGAAACTTTCATTATAGTTGAATTAGTCAGACATGTCTGGTTTTCAACTTGCTTGGCTCCATTCTTTTGTGGCTTTGGCTAAAAACAAATCAAACTGTAATAAATAGATTTGTAGTGACTTAACATTTTAGTGATGCTATACTTATGTTTATTTTATTCTGTATGTAAGTCACTCTTTAATCAATTACATGAAGAAGCAAACTTTTAACTTTAAATGGGTTGCTGTCTTACTTAGGCTTTATGCAGGTAAATGTGTAATATATTGAATTTGTAAAAGTAATTTCTTAAGTATCTCCTTCTTTGTATCTGGGTGGCAGCAGAAATGGAAGTCTCATATCTCAAAACCTGGACCAGTAAAACCACAGAGATGACCTAGAGGTGGAAACATCTATTTTGTTTGTAGTTTGGGTGAACAAACCTTTTAAGGCCACCTTTTGGGGCCAGTGTGTGGCATCACAGCTGAGACAAAGCTGGGGCTGAAGGAGACGGGTCTGGCTAGTTTTCACAACGTACGTGGCGTTGTTGCATCTGAAGATTATTAAGATGACAGAGTGACAGAAGCATAAATTTGTCATTGAGAAGTACTCGGAGACAGAGGGCAGACATACAAACCAGTCCTTCATGGGAAAGTTGTGCAGCGATAACTGTCTGACTGACTTATGAATGCCTGTGACAACATTATGACTGTATATGTTGCTAGACAGCTGGAATTTTCAGTAAAGCCTGTTTTCCCAGTTCCTCCACCCAACTGTGTGAATCACTTACTTTAGAGAATTGGTGTCTGTTTTAATGATAATCATTGTCATCAGTATTATCAGTGCCTATAAATACATATTGATATATATATCTGCAATGCTGGACATCATGTGATCAAGCATCAAGTTCAGCTCACTCTGCTGAGTTGTTCAGCGAGCAGCTCCACTCATCCAGACTTTCTCTGTGCTCCCGTCCTGCAGGTGAGAAGCCGTACAGGTGCACGTGGGACAGCTGCGACTGGCGCTTTGCTCGCTCTGATGAGCTGACGCGTCATTACCGGAAACACACAGGCGCCAAACCCTTCCAGTGTGCCGTCTGCTCGCGCTCCTTTTCCCGATCCGACCACCTCGCCCTGCACATGAAGAGACACCAGAACTAGCAGCATCTACACACACACACACACACACACACACACCAAATACACAAGCACTATCCTGACACACATAAAGCTTTCACTGACACCACAGCTCCTCCTGGTGCTGCTATCATGTGCTAAAACGGTACGATAGCCTAACAAACATGTTGCTCTTAACCCAGGGTGAGACAGTTTGGAGGTTGTAAAGTAGAAAGAGAACAGCCAGATGAAGTTCCTGGTCCCTTAACATCCAGTCACACTTAGTGTAGATTTCTTTCAACAAATACAAAGAAGAAAAATGATAACAAAAAGAAAACAGTGGCTCCAACACATGTTTCCAGAGCTTTTGGACTTCTGTGTGACTGGAATGAAAGCACTTGTTATTCTAAACCTGTACATCTTTTGTCTCTGTTCTAACATAGAACTGGCTTCATTATTATTATTTTATAAATGAGAAGCTTGTGTTTGCATAACTAGTCAAACCAAATCTCTGCTTATTCCTTGGTTTCTTTATAAAACTGGAATATCCTGATTTTGTTTTTTGTTTTGTTTTACCAGATCCTTCTGTTTGCACTAGAATTGGTAATCTAATTCTGAGCCTTTTTTGGCCAATGCATCTCATTCACCACTCGAATGATTATCATCACTACTGGACTGAATTTCACAAATCGTTGTTCAGATATTAAAAATTGAAGGCATTTATACTCTGGAGAGAGGGAAGATAGAGCGGGAAGAAGTGGGGGTTGCAGATGGAGAGAAAGATTTTTGATTTTATACAGAGGAGCTCAGAGGAGAACCAGAGGAAGGTGGATGGTTGCTAAAGAGCAGCAATTAGGTGATGAATTATTCAGATCGTCTCTTGATGGCTTTCCAACCAGAGATATGTAAGCAGAACCCTCAGACGTATCCTAGACTTCATTCGGTTAAAGCAGAATTGACTGTATTTGATGCTCAGGCTTGAATGATGCGTCTTCAAAATACAATTACTTAGATTACATCTATTCCATCCAACATTTTACTTCTTTAACCAAAGTATCATCTTCACCATCTGTCACCATCTTAAGTGCCTCCTCCTCTGGTTTATGTGTTTGTGTTCAGTGGTGGCAGAGCTGCGAACAGTGTAGGCAGTCCCGAAAAAAGTGGTGCTGTTTTTATTTTTTACTATGCTGAATTTCTGGTCTCAGCTTGGGCGGGGGGTGGGGAAACTTGATTTTAAATGACAAGGTTACCCATCATTCACTGTAATGTAACAACTTGGCCCAGGCCAGTTCACAGACACTAACATTATGTGAAACCTTTTTATTACAGTCAGTCGCTCTCTGACTCTGTACACAACTAACTTGCAGTCGGGCTCTATCAGGCAATCAGATGTGGACGTGTGTTTTGTTAAAGGACAGGTTCACATTTTTTCAGATCCTTCTTAAAACAACACTCACAAGGCCATATATGTACTGCAGGAGTTGCTGTCTGAACAAGTATTCCAACATGTTTAATATAAATGATGGGAGACAAAATCAACAGTCCTCCTCTGTGTAAAAATGAATAGTGAAGTACAGCTGGAAAAAATACGAGGCTTCATCTTTTGGCAAGTCAAATGATAAACGGGTAACATTCAAAGTGAATCTTATCCGTTCAGAATGCCCAGTTTTTGCTTCAGCAGCCAGTGTTTGTTGAGCTGCGGTGTGGTATAGCACAAAGAGGAATTTTCACTCTTTGAAAAATGTCCCATTGAATTGATTATTGGCGTATTGTTTAACCGTAGGTTTTCCATGTAGGTATGTTGTCCTCCACCATTTGCATTAAAATCTCTCTCACTGGCATTTCTTCAAACCCCCAAAAAGTTTTTTTAATGTACACATGGTCATCGGTGTTTTCCTATAAAACAGACTTGAAAGAAGTGTAAACCCGTCCTTTACTACAATGCACACATAAATGCCCTTTGTGATGGTGTGATTTAGCCAGCACTTGTAACTGTATTTGTTCATTCACTGCAGGTAGCATTAAGATAATATAGCACTGTAATGTATCATGGTAATTCTGACTATTTATTTGACTGTGTAGAAGTCGGGGGGGCGGGGGTGTTTGTATCAGATCAGCAGTCTTTCTCCCCAGCAAAAATGCCTTAATGTAAATATATGCACTGTAAATAACTGTTGACATTTATGTTAGTTTTTCCCTCTTTTGTTATGATTTTGTAAACAAAAGGGCAAAAAGAAGAAAATGCCCCGCGATCCAAAAATATTTGAGTCTTTTTCCTTTTGGTTTTTCTGATGCCATTGTTTTATATATTGTCCTTCCAAAAACTTATTTTGTAAATCCTTTAATTGTTTGTTTGTTTGTTCTTCTGTGATAAACGTTCCAAAGACAAAAGTTGTTTTTCTTCAACTGAGTGAAGCCAATTCAATAAAGTTAACTGACACTTTTACTGATTTGCTCTTATACTGAAATAAATTGGGAGATTTCTTCTTTTACCTGCTGACGATAACTGAACATCAGGGCCTGTGGATATGTGGTGCGTTTAGTTTTTTGTTTTGTGCATGAGTTTTCTATCAAAGCAGCATTTTGAAGCGTAAACCTGGGCTGAGCAGTGCGGTGTCTGTGGGACAAGCCTCGTCAGGACCTCGACGAAACAAATGAGACATAACCACTCTTAATCTATGAAAATCTAAACAGGGTTAGTGTGCTGATCCTCTGTGTCTGGGATTTTGTGCGGTAGATCCGACATACTTAAAGATCAGTTTCAGCACAAACAGATAAAAGGATGTAGAGGAGAGGCTAAGCGCTCAGCACCCAGGACCTGCAAGGAACCTGCAGCACCCTTGCTGATCAACAAACAATAGTTCTTTGATATCCCAGCAAGAGACAATGGACAAGAAAATAAATTTGACCACCATACTGGGACCTGAGGGGAATCCCACTGTAATGAAATGGACGTACAAACATGCGCACACACGTACACACCATATGTTCTTGGTTTAAGTCACAAATGTGACCCAGGGTCTCTGTTGTAATCTACCTCAGATGTCAGAAAATAGGGAGGTGGAGGGGAGAGGGTGAAAGAACTGAAATGCTGAACAATCTAAACAAAAGAATCTCAGGGGGGACTCAATCAACTACTTCCGTCCTCCTACATCTTCTTTCGTTCTCCTCCTCTGCACTTATTTAATTTCATTTCTCTCTCTCTCTCTGTCTTTGTTTTTTCATGCACCGTATCCCCCCTCTTCTCCCCGGTGGATAGTTTTGTATGAAAGTCCAGGGGCGCTGCTCTGTGGGTCAGAGTGGAGGCTGCTCGCATAACCTGCTCCACTCCTCATCTTTTCCCCCTGTTTTTAATAACACATCTTGTCTCCCTTTGGTCCCCTCTGCTCCGTCTTTTCCTCCAGCTGAAAGTCAAGAGACGTTTTATTCCAGTTCATGGTCTTTTCTTCTCTTGATTCTTTCTCTCACCGAGTCTGGCAGTTATAAGGAATATGTGAATGTGTAGACTTGTACAGTAGATGTGTTTCTGAGTGTGTGAATATTAAAACACTTAGGATGAATGCTTCATACATACACAAGTGGTAATGAGTGAGGGGGAGCTACCGGTTCATGTTTTGGATCAACTAAATTAATGTCACACATCTGGAAGAAGGCTTCTGCCTGCTCCACCCTCTGCTGTGTTGCGTTGGTGTGATTCCCAGTTTCCCTTTGTGCGTGTGTATATATGTGTACGTGTGTGTGTGTATGTAGGTGTAATGTTTCCAGTGTTCCTCTCTTGGAACAGACCACCCACTCAGAAGACCAATAGAGTGACCATAGGGAGCCCAGATAGACACAGACACACTTCCACATGCACACACATATGAAACTCCCTCCAAAGTCAACCCTACCCAGTATTCTCAGAATAGAACATGTTGTTATCAGAGATTGAAGAGATACAGAACAGCTGACATGCTATCACAAAGTTAAAGATAATATCAGAAGCTGAGGAGGATTTCATTCCAAGATGCTGCGTTCATAAAAAGGTTGCCTCAGGTGAGCCGCTCAGTGAAAATATCACAGTCTCATCATGGCTGCTGATACAGAATGTACGTATACAGTACTGTACTGTGGGTCCCCCAGGATCTTATCAGTAAGATGATAAAGGCCTTAACATGGCTCCTGAGTTTGTTTGTTTTTTTTATGTGGTCCCTGTGTCAAAACCTACTTTTAACAAGTAGCACTCAGCTGTTGGATTGCTCATTACAAGCTGATGCTGGCTGTGATTTGTTAATTGTCTGTACTGGGAGACAATAAAAGCACTGTGGTTGTTCAAACCTTAGTGGAGATGTCAAAGATTTCCAAAGATACCAAATATGTCAGGATGAATTTTGAGTCTTGGGCTTAATTAGTTGACTTAGCGTTAATATTGTGTGATGAGTCTGAAACAGCAGTATGTTGTTGAGTTAAGTCAACTAAAAGGAAATTTCAAGCAACCATTTACCACTGATTCTGTGCTGACTGAAAATAATGTAGGTGCCAGGATGGATAGTCATGAGCAGTAATAACAAAATAACAGCCCCGATCAGCAGCCAGTGATTCTTATGTCAGGAGAAAGACATAGTTCTCTTACTGTCATGCACATCATATTCATGTGGATACGACAGCTAATTATATCAATACGGAATCAGGACCGCTTCACCTACTGTGCACCAGATCAAAATGATCAGTAGGCGGTACCTTAGCTGCAGTACGCTCCGAGCAAAGTAAAAGGCTTTTTTTTACACAGCTGTATTGATTTTATAATGTCTCATTTTGAAATAAAATACTTGAAATAATGATCTGGATGAGCAAATGTTCTTAAAGAGTTTCAGCTGCTGCTCTGAAGGTTGAGGTCGTCAGTTACTCACAGTCACAAGTTGTTTTAATAACTCATATTTTCACTGTCTCACCGTGTGAAACATACAGTAACATTGTAATATCAGTTGTCAAGGAGTTTCCACATCACTGCACAATGACTAATAAGAAAAAGATGACAAATCCTACAAACCATAGCCAATATAATAGCCTTAGACCAACACAATTCCTGATAAAGGACTGTTTAGGAGCACATTCTGGTAATAATTAAACTGTTTAGTCCAGCTTTTGCACAAACCTACGAAGATAACCTCAAGCCACCCTGAGCTGCAGTACAGTGTTTTGGGAGGGATCTTAGACTTCTCTCCATAGCAGACAAATATCTTTGCACCTGCAAAACACAGGTTGACACCCTGACTGGACCTTCACAGGACATGTGGAAGTGAAGGCCTTTCTTGTGAGTTCCTATCATAATTGGTGAAAAGAGAAAATGGTCTGCAGGTTATATATCACCTGTCATACACTTAATCAAAGCTGTTTGCTCGCTGTTAACTCCTAGACTGTACTGAACGCCTCTCTGACCAAACAGTTCACAGGTTGACTCCATGACAGCCTGCTGTATATGTGTTAAGTTTATACTTCCCCCTCCTTTTTAAGTGTATTACCCCTCCTCTTTGTCAGACATGTAATATTTATGGTCATGGATAGTTATAGACTTTGTTCTCAGACAATAAGACATATGTTGCTGTTCACTTCCATAGTTTTTCTTGTAGTTTTTTTAAAGCTTATTATTTAGTACATGTTTGAAATAAATCTAAATCTAAATATGTAAAACCTTCATTCAAATGACCAAATACAAATCTGGACTGAAATGTAACTTGTTTACTGCATGAAATATGTTTTTTTTTGGGGTTTTTTTTTTAGAGAAATCGGTTTTATAGTAGATTGGAATCTTCTGCAAAGAAAGATGAGGAACATATTCACTGAAAAAGTTGTTTGAGAGCATACATGTGGTTCCTTGTTTCTAAATGTAATAATAATGTATTTTTTTCCTAATATACTGTATTTATTGACTTCATTTTCTGGTTTCATCTCCATCTTCAACTGTACAAAACTGCACCATAGAGGAAACAAAGTCAGTTTAGAAATATATATCAAAATTTATTTGTCTTTAAACCATCGGGTTATTTTTCATTGTAGGTTCATGCACATGTTTGTTAGTTTTCCCAGCAAGTTATACTGATTTGAAAAAATGAGCTAAACCTTTTCAGGCACAGTGCCTTTATCCTGAAAGTGTGTTCCCACTCCAAATGCAACATTATAACAACTTCTGCTTCTCACGCGATTAATCTGACACATCATCAGATACTACCAGCATTGTATATGTAAAAAAACAGGAGGGAGTGATGACTGAACGAACCTTCTGCTGACTGAGGGTCAGTGACTTATCAGTCAGTATGAAACAACTTGAACCTGTGGTTTAAAGGCTTAATTGTGCTGCCGTCTCAGTTTGAAGAATTATTGTGTTCTGTTTTAAATTAGATTTTCATCAGGACGCTCATAGAAAAACACAAATAAAATACAATAGTGTCATTGTTAAGGCTTTTTTTCAATACCGACCTCTCATTTTTTGGAGGACAAACTTAAATATGCAGTACAAAGTCCCACAGAGACAGTTCTGCAGAGACTATCTGACATTCAGAATTTGATGGTTTTCAGTAGAAACATGTTCTCAGTCAGGATAAAAGTCTGGCTTTAATCACAGTTTCACACCAAAAACATATCAGAGGGGAAACCAAGATAGTTTCATGTTATGGGAGAGGTGAAAAGTCAGGACTTTTAAAAAGGAGATGCAAGTTTTATTGCTGGTACTTTTAATTCTCACCAGTAAAAACAGCTATTGTTTTCCTGGAATCGCAAGTAATGGCACATTGATATGCAAAATACAAGGACATAAAGACTTTATGATCATTTAACAATGAAAATATAGATGTTTCCTATGAAAGTCTTTTATTCAGCTGATTTGCTTTTAATGTGAAGTCTATGAGTTCCAACTCAAACTGGTCACTCAGGTTTGTGCTTTAATGTGAACTCAAGTAACTTGAATCATTTGCATTTGCACTTGTATTTTCACCCTGAAGGAAACTGACTTTGCAGTCAGAAATCACTGTAAACACCATGCCAAGAGTTCATGTCAGGTTTTGGCATGTTATCCAAGCTACTGAGGATTTCCTCCCACAGTTCACACACACACACACACACACACACACACACAGGTTACGTAGGTTAGAAACTTTACTGCCTGTGAAAGTTGAGGTGTTTATCTGTTTGCTTTAGTAATGTAATACCAATAATTTCTTTCTTTAATCCAGGCTTTTCATGATGTTATATCAGGTGCATGTACTGTAGCTAGGGCACCCAGAAAATACCTACACAATGGAAAAAAACTGAAGATTTGATTACATATCTAAAGGCTATTAACAAGATAAAGTATTGTACTGGTGACGGTCTGACATCTGAAACATTCACCTTTCATGTTTCTCACACTCTTGAGGGCATTTTCTCCCATCAGCCTAGTGAAACACTCCCGATCAGTACCCTGCAACTTCAGTCAGTGCTTTCATGTTTCT